CTACATCTCGAGTTCGGTGACTATGATAGCCTCTCTAATCCTGAACTAATTTGAGCATATGTTTGTGTACGTTTGTATCAACCGAAAACACATAATGATATTGACAGTAACGGGAAAGCAACGATATGGAAAAGGGTGCAAAGCCTACACTTCAAACAATGTACACAGTGCAGGCACGTTAGGGAAGTCACAGAAGCCGTAACAAAAATCGGGAAGGCCTGCAGCGTTGCGTGATCGCACATGGCGTCTAAGACTCTGGGACCAGTGCGTTCTTTCTACAAACCGTCGGTGGGATGTAGACTTCCCTGCCAGTCTACACAAAGGCTCCAAAGATCAATCTGCACTCCTGAACCCGAATCAGCCCTAGCCCTGAAACTCTATGTCGGATATAAAGAATCTGAATCACAAACCCCTGTTGACGTTTTTGTCAATCTCTGTGGGGCTTCTTGTATTGACTCTGTTAAAACTCGAGCCGAGAAGCAAAATGCAGAAGCAGGTGAACTTTAGCTTCGGATTGTTCCCAGGGTGACCGGCAGGACTTAGTTCCCCAATAGCCAATCTTGAAACTTTTTGGGCTCTTGTAATTTCGTAGTAACCTGAAAGTTTAACCTTTATTCCCCTTGGCTTATTCGGGAAGTAAGAGGAAGCCATGCGATTGTGACATTAGTCCTGTTTTCCTGAACTTCGCATGCGCACACTTGGTCTGATTACCGTCGCAAAAATACTACGGTTGCTGGACTGCTGGTATGTTCCATGTCGTCATCATCATCAACAACATAGCACCTATGTCTTCTTGCTGGCAAAGCCGCACAGCTATCAACCCTAAACCAGATCTTGAACCCTCGCCCCAAAGCCCTTTCGACCGCTAGACGCTTGTAAGCCAAGCATGTTGTCTAATGTTCCCTGGTGCTGCTGTTGTTGTCGGGGACGTGGTGCTTGTTCTTGGGGTTGCGACGCTGTTCCTGTCGTGCCACAACATGCAGGGGTTTCTCGCGGTGGCGCGGATGAAGTTGTTGCTGGTAATGTTGTTGCTGCTACTTTGATGATGATGATGATGGTGATGATGATGATGATGATGAGGGGGTGGAGGGGGGAGGAGGAGGAGGAGGAGGAGGAGGATGGTGTTAGTGATGAGGATGCTGATGGCGATGGTGATGGTGTTGGCGATGATGTTGATAATGGTGATGGTGATGATGATGATGGTGAAGATGACGATGATGATGGCACTGCTGATGATGATCCTGCTGATGATGATGATGCTGGTGACGATGATGCTGATGCTGACGCTGATGCTGATAATGATAATGATGATGATGGTAACGATTATGATGATGATGCAGATGACGATGGTGATGACGGTCATGATGATGGTGATGAGGATGATCATGCTGCTGATGATGATGATGATGATGATGCTGCTGATGATGATGATGATGATGATGACGATGATGACGATGATGACGATGATCATGGTTGCGAAGATACGAGTAGTGACATTTGTCAGGAGAGGAACAAAGCTGCCATCATCAGCACCAGCACCACTACCATCGCCGTTCCTCTACTAGCTACTGGCGCCACTGTTGCACCATCACCGCTGAAACTGCTTCTGTCCGGGCTATTGCTACTGCCCCTGCTCTTCGTCCTACTATATACTCCAGTGACATGTTTGCTGTCAAGAAACTGGATATCCTTCGAATCCGCGTCCAAGTTCAGGAATTTGGCAATTCCTTGCTGCGAGCATTTTGAGGCTGAGGAAGGCGTGTCAAGAACCATGCATCATGGACAAAGAGCCGCAGAGTCAGGAGCATCAAGCATTGGAGGCTCTTTCGGAAGATTGACAGCGTTGGGCATGTGACATGGAAACTTGGGATAACGGCGATTGCACTCAATTCCGGAGATGCATCTGCGCTTCTGGTTGGCGGGTTTGGAATTGGATTGGGCATTGAGGCTGCAGGGGCATCTGCATCGCATTCCGGCATCTGGGCCTGCCGGTATAAGTACGAGGACCTGGCGAGACTACACTTACGAATCCGATACAATTAACACGAAACCAGATGTCGAAAGCCACGCAACGGTCACATATGGAGATGAAGGGGCTGTGCACAAGACCGAATGCCCAATAAAACTGTGTCTGGCGTCATATTTACATATATGCGTATACCTGTGCACATATAAATACAGAAATATATATATATATATATATATATACATACATTATGCATGTGTAGATATACACACTATACAAAATGTATACTAATTCATATCTCCAGCTTGTGCTGTAGGAATTCGGCACTGGGGCCAAATAACCAGGGTCCATGGGTGACTCTGGAAAACTACCCATCAAAGTTCTCCGTCGTATACGACTGCGCAGTGTAGTCTGCATGCCTACCGCAGTTTTCCGCTGCCAAGGCGTCAAGCCCTTGATTGAGCAGTCAAACTCCGGAAGTCCATCGAAACTCTGAATGCTCAGAACCTAGAGTCCTGCCTCGAACCCAACAACCCTGAGATAGTTCTAATACAGGGGCTTCTGGGATAAACATGATAAGGAAGCCGAAGGAAGAAAACTTGGAATAATGATAATGAGACGAAGTATTCAGGAAAACACCGAAATTCTGGAAACCGAAGCTGCAGCCTCTCAAAACCCGACGTCTGCCACGGACCAACCTGGCATGCCTACAAGCCTTCAATCCTACAACGCTTGAAAAGTGATACCGTGCATGTAACTCCTCAACCAATCCAAACCCTAAATTCAAGACGCCAGTCCGAACGCTAGAAACAAACAGAAACTTCTTTGCAAGTGAGGCCTCGACCCTAAATTCAAAACCCCAAATCCTAAACCCTTACAACCTAAACCCAACACCCAAAACCCTAAACCAATCCTTGCACAAGCAAGGAACTCCTCATCTCGAGTTCCGGCGTCTGACGCAAGGACTCGTAGCGAAGCCTCGCTTTCCACTTGCCAACGATTGGGTTTGCAGGGCTCCGAGCCCTTAAATCCTTAAAGGACGTTAAAGTACCTCTTAAACGGGTGGTTTCCGAAAATAGGGGTCCCTAATATAGAACCCGAAATAGTAGGATCCTTATTGTAAGGAGCCCAAAAGAAGGCACGCCTTATTTTGGGAAACTCCCATGAGGACTCTTTAAAAGACCTTTTACAGGATCCCGGAGAGCCCCCAGGATTTCAAGCTTTGAGGAGCTCTCCATTGCAGTTCATCTAGGCTTTGTCGATGTAACGTAGGGGCCTAAATGATTACCAATCTATTTTTGGGGGGTTCCTTACTATATTTAAACCCTAAACCCTGAACCCTATTGTAATAGAAGTTGCTCAAGCGGGGGACAGCACAGCCCGGATATGCTCCTCTGATGTCAGCTTGCACTGCGATTTGAGATGACAGGGAACTTCCAGCTCTTGCAGCTTTGAATTGAGTTTAGGGCTTAGGGTTTAGGGTTTAAGGTTTAGGGTCTGGGGTTTAGGGTTTAGGATTCAGGGTTTAGGGTTTAAGGTTTAAGGTTTAGGGTTAAGGTTTGGGAATTAGGTCAAGGCACCATAGGATCCTCAGCTTCGGGTTTTCCCGCGCAGCATGCTGCCAGGATCGAATGTGGTCAGCCCAGGAGACGCCCGGATACATCCTGCTTGGAGGTTTGGGGTTTGAAGGGCTTATCGGGTTTAGGGGTTCAGGGTTTATGGGGTTTAGGGTTTAGGGTTTATAGGGTTTGAAGGTTTAGGGCTTGGGATTTAGGGTTTGGGGTTTAGGGTGCAGGAGTTGACGGCCCAGAGTTCTGCAGTTATTGGGCTTAAAGCTTAGAGCTCCTTCATGGGTTCCTTGAATGGAACGGTTCGGGGAGCCACTGTGGCTTAGGTGGGCGCGCAGGGGCGAGAGCGATGAACCTAAAACCCGGAGTTAGCCTCAATGGCCCCTAACTTCCAAAGTTTAGAGGGTTTGGGGTTTACATAAGGTTCCCAAGTTTACACCATCTCTGAAGTCTGTTGGATTCATGCCCTGTGCGATGCCTCTAGCTCGATCTTCACTTTGCTTGACCTCCAACAGTTTCCGAATATTAAACCGAAGACTTGCTGCACCTCTCCTATGGCATCTTAGAGTATCCCATAATATGTTATCTCACGATATCCTATGCTACCGAGATTCCACTGATATTCAGAATACCCTATGAACTCCCACAGTATCCCATCATATCCTATAATACCTCAAAAAATTCCCGGTACTTATCCTGTAACCGGCGCGCGTATAATCAGAACCCTATCAATGGAATAGCCCTCTTCAAACAACAAGTAATTTGCAACACACACACACACACACGCCTTCTGTGTATATATATATATACACACACACACACGCGCGCACCCACACATGCGCAAGCGAATGAAGTACATGGGGAACATAAACACAAAGAACCGCGGGTTAACGTAGACCCTAAAGCCCAAAGACCACAGAGCTCTTCAGCTGCGATACTCACAACTACCTCAAAGCAAAACCTCCAACACCTGGATAGAAATATTCGGGCCCTCCCATTAGAGGTGCAAAGTCCTCCTGTTGTTGATAAAGCTCCTGGGATTCCAACTATGGAGTCTAGCTTTGCGGGATTTCCGGGCATGGCGGCCTACTTAAAGGATCATGGGACTTAGTAACTAGGGTTATAATTAGGGTAACTACACTTATAACCCCAATTAAGGGACTTATAACCTTACTTACTAAGTCCCATGATCCTCCAAGTAGAGAGTTGGAACTTTCGGTGTGACTTTGTCCCTCTTTGAACCGCACGAGAGCTCTGCCTCATCTGCCACTTCCAAAAAGCGGCGGGGTGTTTTTAGCAATGCTTGCCTGCCATCACGACTACCAGCGCACCTGTCAGAAGTACGATTCCCGCTAGTGTGGCTGTAGTCCTTCTTGCTTGCATTGCGATTAGGCTTCCACACCCACTCCGAACCGTCAGGCCTGAACCTCAGTCGATCAGGCCGAGACGCGGGAAAGAGGAAGGATCACGCACTTGGCCCAGGCCCATGCGAAAGCGGAAGTAGGAGGCGAGGGTATCATAGCCGTTTCCTCGGCGGGCGTTTAAGGTTCAGGGTTTTGGTTTCGGGGATCTGGGGTTTAGGGTTTTAGGATTTAGATTTGGCGCTTTAGGGTTTACAGTGAACACGAGAAAGTTGGAACATGGGTTTAGGATGATTAGTGCTAGGATCCATCGTACTTTGTTTTCGGGCAAAAGGATCATCCTGGACCAACCGGATCAGACGACAACAACTGTGGAGACTCTTCTCCCGGCAGCTGAACCAAAGAGCTGCGATAAGTCAAAACCTGCAGAGGAGGTGCTTCAGGGAAGTCACTAGTAGCCTTCGTAGAAGTGGCTTCACATCCGTTTTGGCTGTATCCCTAGACCCTGGACCCCGCGACTGCAACAGTTGGTACGTATGCTTGACCATGGCTGCAACACGAGAAACCTTGAACGATTCGCAAAACGCTCCGTTCGAGAATTGGCCGAACAGCCATTGTAGCTGAGATTTCCGAAATTCTGGTCAACAAAAAAGAGTCTTACTGCCTATTGTCCGAGGTAAACATAGCATCCCATATCACCTACGTTCATGATCCATTCAGCGAAGTCACGGTAGACGTAGATGACCTTGAGAAATGTGCAAGAAGGACTTAAAGCTTGGAATTTCAAGGCGAGCTTCAATCTAACATCAAGTGCAACCTATCTATCTATCTATCTGTCTGTCTATCTATCTATCTATCTATCTATCTATCCGTTTTTCAATGACATGCCAGATCATAACGTCGTAGAAAACTTTGCGCTGCTACTAGGTCCTAGATGGTCGTTGCATCTGGGCCATAAGAGGCTTTGTCAGGTGCAGAAGGAATTCTTAGCCGATAGATCCCATACCGCCCATACCCCATACCGTAAACAAACCCCATAATCCCAAACCCCTTAGCTGCGTAGGCTCCGCCCACGACACGTCTGAACTTGTCCAGAAATCACCCGACAGCTCTGCTTACTTTGTCAGAAGCAGTAAGAGGTAGACAGCCTGCAGCCCGTGGCCCTAAAACCCTTAATTCATCCTCATTCCAAAGAGCCCCAGACACTAAGTGTACGAATCATGAACATAAGCCCCATTGTAAGAGCCCTAAAAACCCTTCAAAACCCGACGATCTGTAGCTTGTGCTGAGTACCTAAGGTGCTCTTCGGTTTTGGCTTTCTTCCGGGTTTCGGGGTTTGGTGTTCTTTAGGAGTTTTGGTTGTGGGTTTTGCCCTGTCACGAAATCAACCATGATTTACGTGGGGGTGTTGGGATTAAGGCTTTAGGGTTTCAAGGCTTAGGGCTCTTAGGGGAGGTGTGGCCCATGGTTCTTACAGGTGCAGGGGTTTTAGGGTTTAGGGTTGAGGGTTTTTCACCCTAAACCCTAAACCCTAAACCCTTTAGGCTTGACGAGGCACCCTTTGGAACTTCTTGGCACAGTTTGGGCACATGCACTGGCTCGCAGCTTGATGGTCCACGGTGCCACCCTGCAGCAAATACCCTGAACCCTAAACCCTAAACCCTAAACCCTAAACCCCAAACCCTAAACCCTAAAGCCTAAACCCTAAACCCTAAACCGAATAGGGGGCTTGACTACAGGGGTTGAGGTAGTTCGCTCTTCGGGGCTGTACAAGTGTTCAAGATAGTCGGATGCAGGAAGAGGACCCCAACCCCCTTATCTAACCGGGTCCCAAACCCTAAACCCTACACCCTAAACCCTACCAGGCAGGACCCCCCGATGGCTCGTTTATAGAGCCCTTATGGTCCTTGATAGTGGGTATTTGGGGTATAATAGAGGGTAGTTGGCGGGTCTAGGTAAACCCTAAACCCTCATCCCTAAACCCTAAACCCTGAACCCTCATCCCTAAACCCTAAACCCTAATCCCTAAACCCTAAACCCTGCTTCCTAAACCCTAATCCCTAAACCCTAAATCTCAGCGGTCTCAGCCGTATCCGCTCAAGTTGGGGGCGGCTTTCCCTGCAACTCTACGGCGATGGAAAGATCAAGGCCCCAAAGAACAGCATCAAAGGGTGTAGGGCTTATGAGGGTTTAGGATTTATGAAGGTTTAGGGCTTATGAGGGTTTAGGATTTACGAGGGTTTAGAGGGTTCATGAGCGCTTGGGGTTTAGGAGGATTTAGGGTTTATGAGGGTTTATGAGCGTTTCGGGTTTATGAGGGTTTAAGGTTTATGAGGGTTTAGGGTTTATGAGCGTTTAGGGTTCATGAAAGCTTAGGGTTTTATTAAGAGCGCTCACGGTTTACGAGGGTTTAGGGGTGTATTAGGGTTTAGGGTTTAGGGTTGGAGGGTTCATAAGGCTGATAAGTTATAAGGGTTGTAATCGGGCTTTAAGAAGGTTTTTCTTTTAGATGCAATGTTTTATATGGGCCGGGCTGTCAAGAACCTGCTATGGAATCTGCGTCTCAACATGCAGGCTCCAGGCTACGTGCTCCATGCTCTGCTCGAAAACGCGAACCATAGGCTCTGCACCATCATTAAGCCAAACCGGAAACTTGAAAACCCTTAAAACATAGGCCCGAAACTCAAAGCCCTGAATGCCGCGCCCTGCGTAAAGCCTGAGTACGACCTGGTAACCCCAAGCCTCAAAACAGCCTAGCTTTAGCCCAGGTGGCCCGACAGCCTAGGCCACTGAACCCTAAACCCTAAACCCTGAACCCTAAACCCTAAACCCTGAACCCTAAACCCTAAACCCTAAACCCTGAACCCTAAACCCTAAAGCCTAAACTGAGGCTGAGGGTTTGGGGTTACCATCTCTGAGTGTGGCTTTGGGCTGAAAGAAGCACTGAGTCACGCGGCCTTCCACTTCGAAACCCTGTAAGGTTTTCGGGCTTGGGGGGTTTACGTCTTATGGGCTAAGCGGTGTATGTTTTAGGGCTTTTCAGATTTGCAGGTTTAGGGAAGTTTAGGGTTTAGAGATTTGTTGATCGAGCTTCTTTGCGTTGGGCTTGGTGGTTTTGGCGCCCTGTGGCCTCTAAGTGGCGCCATATTCGGAGCTTCAAGTTTAGAATCCATCCATCCCCAGGGTGTATTACACAGGGTTTAGGTTTAGGGTTTAGGGTTTAGGGTTTAGGGTTTAGGGTTTAGGGTTTAGGGGCAGAAGCTCAACAAAGGAGCCTAATGAAGGAAGGGTACTACCAGTACCATCATCTGCTTGAGCCTCCATATTTATTTAACCCCCTTCAAGCCCACCCATCAAAAAGGGCTCCCGAAAGCCCTTACACCCCTGCCTAACCCGAAACCCTAAACCC